ACTGGTACCAAAAGCCGAAGAATGATGGCTGTGATAATCCCTCCTACAACTGTACAAGCAAAATAACTACAACGCCCCCCCACAAAGAGAGGATTTCACAGACGGAGTCCTGCATGCACAGACAGACTGATGTGCGTCATTGCTGATCTCACAGATAGAATCTCGCACATCTGACAAAGCCCGGCTTTCCCATCGCCGTCGCCAGCGGTTCATCATACATAGCGTGAGCACAAGAGGCGTATAATGATCAGGTAGTGAAAACCAACCAGCTGTGGAGAGAACAGGAGCTCTGCATACAAACAGGCCCCTACCAAGCCGTGTGGGGAGCATCTGTCTACTAACAAAGGTTGTTTTGATGGTCGCACTTAATATCCGCAAATCCCAACCACAAAAACAACCCTCCCAAAGATGTCGCCTTAATCCCCCAAATGCACCCCAATCTGCTGCTATTCGTTGTTTGATCCCAGTAAAGCTGGTTAAGAGGGCGGAGAAGGGCGCTGGTGCAAAATGCAAGAGAAGTATCATGATTGAGCTGCAGGTAGTCATCTGCGTAGCATGGAGGAAAAACTGACACATTAAGGAACCATCTCTTTAATGCTGTAACTAAACTAAAAACCAAAAGGAAAACAGCTGCGCTCTCATAGGAGGGCCTGTGGATGGTTTAAATTTCTCCAATAAAAATCCCCTTAAAGATGTTAGGAAAAAAATGGCTGCTCACCCAAATCAGATGCTATTTAACTTTCAGCTCATAAGCTTTAATCTACAAATAACAAATTCGCCAAACAACAAATTTTACCAGGTTATGCTGACAATACTGTTTAGTTAGAATGCTGCAACTAAATGAAGACTCAACGTTGACTCTGTCACAATGAGGTGTTTAAAATGACAATCAGAAGAGATATAAAAAAGCTATTTAAAAATAGCCTGTTTAGATAATTCTGTTGTTTATTTAAGTTGGGAGAGACTAAGACAGCATGAGAGAGGATGAATGGAGAATAGCTTTTATGGATGATGGTTAGATAAAAAAGAAGCCACTGTACAAAAAACAAAAACATAACAATAAAGGAGCAACATTAAGGTCACATTGCTCAAAAACAACAGACTGTAAGCAGTGCAGCATGTTTGTTAAGCTGCTTGACTAACCAGCCAATGTCAATTTATTTTACTTTGGTTCGCCGTATATCAAAACTAAATTTGCAATCAAAAGATTGTTAAACTGCTACTAAATTTTACCTGTGTATTTTTTTTTTATTAATGATTACATACATGAAAAAATAAAGAATAAAATAATATTTAATGGAGAGATAAAATAGAAAGCAGTTTATTAGGTCTTAGCAACAGTCAAAATAATTATATTAAAGCAATTCAATTATAGTCTACATGTTAAAGCACCAATATGAACCCATCCAAACGGGCCAATCCTGGAGCTGTCCACACTTGCATGTGAGTCCCTTTATTCAGTATGTAGCTGCAGCTGCAAGAGGAGATCTGATTGAGCCTGCAGGGACCAGGACAGCTGCAGTGTATGCCGGCTTAACTCCGCTGAAGTGGAGAATAGATCCTCTGCACACAGAGAGCATTCAGCTCATTTAAAATGTTACATAAAAGTAGAAATTCGGCCACGTTACTGGGCTCCTTTCTTCATAGCTGGCGTGGTGGCAAAGACAGTCTGATTGGTGGTCAACAGGGCGAGTGTGGTGGGTCGATCAACCACACGCTGATCATTCAAGCAATGGAAAATAACAGGATCTATTTCAAATTCTATTTAATAATCAAACTCTGCAATTCATACGGGTTTATTCAGAGTGGCTGAGGCTGAAGGTAGAAAAGGTTTTTGTAGCGGTCAATATTATCATAGATCTGTAGAAAACATATACAGTATAATCGCCTAAATACAGGAACAGTTTTGAATGCTTTTAGACTATTTCATAAACACAAAAGAATGCATGGAATTAGTCGATGGTGTGTAAATACAACGGTAAAGATAATGCAAAACAGAGTTTAATTTAGAAAGAAAGGAAGGACAGGTGGCTGCACACACAGGTAAAAAAAGAAGGTTCCATCACTTGAAAGACAATGGACAGGACAGAAGGTAGTTAAGGCAGACAGATCTGATTTTCAAGCTTCTGATCGCTCATGTTGCATTTCATGTGAATGTCATGTTATCATCCACTCTCTGACTACTCATTAATACAGAATCATCTCAGAAAAGCAATTACTGCTCCACAAACACAGAATGGAAATAGTTCTAGAACACTGACGTGTTATTATTTCTGTAAACAGTGCAAAGCTTTTTGAGGTCTGCAATGTCCTGCTGCACATTTGGGTCGCATTGGGGCTGTGAAACAGTTAACACTTCAGAACTAGAGACGGAAATACCTCTACTAGACCACAAGACCGGTAATGAAGTCTGGACATATAAAAATGCTGTTGTTGTTTCCAGCTTTAAACCTACACTAAGTAACTTTTCAACCTTCATAAAATATTTTCATAACATTTTTACTTTTTATTTATACATTAACTTATAACTAGTTGAATGACCCTCTGTCATATTACTGTCATATTACTCTGTATTGCTTTCACCCGCACTAAGCAACTTTGAGGAGAAATATGGTACAAAACCAAAGTTAAGCATTTCTTCTTTTCAACAATGTGATATGACAACATTTTTACCACAATTAGATTCATTGCCTCATTACTATTTATCATTCACACAATCACTGGAAACAGAAATGTAGTTTACTCCGGCTTCAAGCAACCAGGAAATCAGGATTTTACCACGCAATGCATTGCTGCTTTGTCCACTGGGGGGAGCCAAAATTGACCAAAACTGAAAGTTCTTCAAAACTGCTTAAGAGGAAAGACTGTAGGAATCTAAAAAAATTGCAACATTACAAACTAGTGACTGAAAACCCAAAATAGTAATATTTTTCATGCAATAAGCTAGTGCACTGCAAAAAATAGAAATCTCAATAAGTTATTTTTTCTTAAAATAAGTGTGTTTTTCCTTGATTTGAGGAGGTAAGTAAGACACTTTGCCAATGGAACAAGACAATTTCCTTTTAAAATAAGAAAAAACAATTTTATCTTCTTATTTCAAGTAAATATTATCTAACTATCTTATTTTAAGAGTGAAAATACTCATTCCATTGGCAAATCATCTTATTTACCTGCTCAAATTAAGGCTAAATATACTTAATTTAAGCAATTTTTTACTTATTTCTGGATTGTTTTTGCAGTGTGGAGGGCAATGAATTGCAATCGCAATTTCACAAAATGCAATTTATAAATCATAAAAGGTGCCCAAATTTTGTCACATTACATTTAACATCAAGCTTCTCCCTCCAGTCCTTTAGGTGGCAGTAGGAAGCTTAAACTGGCTTCCCACCACTCAGAAGGAAAGAGAATGTTGCAGCTAGCGAGCAGATCCAAACACGGGAGCAGATTTAAAAACTTTTCCAAGCAAAAGAAACAGTAAAGTCCTTTGACAATGGACTCTACATGAGCTTTAAAGGCAATTCAAAAATTAAATACCTGCATTGAAATATCTTACGGTTAAGGAATTAACCCCGGTTTTTTGAAACATGACTGAGGTATCTCACTATGCGACACGCCCCCAGCGCTGCGTCCAGAAGCTCTATAAACATTACGCCAGTCTTCACTGGCCCACAACCATCTGCTTCTAAATGAGGGACTTGTCCCCAATGTAAGAACCAGACGTCACACTGGTGATTGTCAGTCTAACACCTCTTCTCGCTCCCAGGAGCTTACTCAGACGGCTAATACAGCAAGTAACGAGCTAGCTCAACTGTCCAAAGAGTGAGCTAACAATCTAGTCGCCGAATGCTAATCAGTACTGTTATTCAGCTGTTCTGAGTCCTTCTTTCTACTGCTGGTCTTTAGCTTGAACTTGTACTCATCATGGACAAGGTCAAGCCACCTTGCACATGTGGAAACCTTATAGCTGGGGCAGACACCCACCCTGTCTGCACCTCGCGTCTGGGGCTGCAACATGCCCGGGTCGGAGTAGCTGTAAGCACTGTCCGCGGCTCTCCCTCAACTCTTGTTGGTGCCGGCTAGCACATCAAGCTAGCCTGTCAAAGGTGGACCCTGTGATGGAGGTAGCCAACCCTCCACCAGCGGTGCTCACCGTGTTCGACGAGGGGGAGCCCCTATTTACTGAACCCAGTTGGGGGGACCTGCTCAATGCTAATCTACATGCTTGTGGTTAATGCAAAGGAAAACCTAAAAAAAAAAAACTGCAATGGCAATATTGTTAAAAAACAAACAAACAAACAAAAAAACACAATTTTGTATTTTGGCAAAAATGTTAAGCCCTAAAATAAACACGGGTGCTGTAGAGGAAGAGTTGCCTTTATTTAAAACCAAAGAAGTCCACGCATCACTGCATTTACAAAAAATGGGAGAAAGATTAACAGAAGATGCGGGAAGCTAAGAAATGTCACATTTTGTAACATTTCTTCTAAACTTATTCCCCAGCCCACCAATGAGTTTTAACAACCCAGACATCTGCATACACTGGGCCCAGCTCTCTGATGCAAAAGGAAATTGGTGACAAACCAGTATAAAGAAAAAGATATCAACATCTGACACATGAATATGAGAAAAGTAATGGAATATTAGAGTTGTATTGTCACTATTTAAATTCGTCACTGCCAAAGTAAGCAGGGACAAAGAGGAGGAGAGCTATTAGAATATCTTTTTAGATGGCTCATATAGGTGAATATTCATGATAAAAACACCAATTTTAGACACTAGAATGACATTACAATGACTCACAATGACTATAAAATCCTAAAAGCCTGTTTTATAACCTTTTAAAATTCAATATTCATTGATCTGATTATATGCCCATTGGCATCTCATCAAATACACTGAATCATAAAAGTCAAAGCAGCATCGCAAAACTTCCTCAGAATTAGTCAGATCTTTTGAAGGCATCTGCTGCTTTCATAAAAGTGCTAACTTCTAAGGTTTACCTCTTCATCATCGCTGGGCAAGCTCTGGTAGTCGGATTCTGCCGTCTCCTGCAGCCTCTGATATTCTGCCGTCTCTCCCATCGTTAGGCCGCAGCACCCGACCGAGGCGGCAGAGGATGGGTGTAGAGAGTCCACAAAAACCTCAAATAGCAACTGCTCCAGTCAGCAAGCAACCCACTTAATCAGCCGGTCAGTCTGCTTGCTTCAAGCTCCATGCTGTCCCTGGGAGGACAAGCACAGCACAGCACACACAGCATTCCAGATAGCCTGGCACATTGCAGTATGACTTCTATCTGAACTGTGATGCTGCTAAATCCCGCTGCTGCGATACCAGCGTGATTCCCTTTGACATTCAGGCTGAGTCAGCGCCTGTTGGAAAAGGGCCGGACAATGAGAACCTCAGTTTCATCCATTCACAACGGGACGTCCTTCACCGGCTGTCTACTGGGTGAGCACACAGGTGCTGATCACTGCAGTGAAGGAATGTGTTCCTTTTGGGAAGCACGAGGCTGCAATGTTTCACTCAAAAGAAGACAAAGTCAGTTTCTGCAGAAATGAAGAAAATACTCCAGAGTTGATGCCTTTTGCATCAGATCCCTTTTGCATCTCTGTAGCCTCTAAATATTCCCAATAATAAAAAGGAAGTGTCTCTTTTTAAAAAAAGGATGATCCTTTATCATTGCAGCTGCAGAATGAAATCATTGTCATTCTGCTGCATTAAAGGTGTATCCAAGGAGGGGATGAATCCAGAATGCTTCAATCATCCAAACCGTCAGTCCTTTAATCCGTCTCCACGATGCTCAGCTCTCCACTGTCTCTGACCGACTCCCAGGCATGCTGCTGTCATGCTGACGCATGCTCTTTAAATCCAGCGGTGCTCCCTCCGTCTCTCTCTACCCCGTTATTATTCCAGGCCACAGGCATCACCATGGTCGAACAGCCTTTCTATCAGCAACAACACACACCAAAGCAGCTAGCTGGGACAATGTCCCTCCATACTTGTTTACATCAGTATGTACCTCTAATATTTTGTGAATGCATGATCATCCCAGGGTTTTATTCTGGCAGCTCAACTCTGAAGGTAACGCCTTTGGTCTGGTGGGGGATTTTTGACACAGTTTTGACCTAAATGGACTAACTAATTGCATGGTCGATGGCTAATCCCTCGCTGTTGTTATCGTTTCCCCCCTCCTCTCTTCCTTTTATTCCCCCAGCCTCTAACCTGCTTTCTGCACCCATCCACATTTTTTTTTTCCATTTCAGCTTTGGCTCAATGATTTGGCAAGTGGCCACCTCCGCTATTACCGTGGTAACATCAACCAATCCTCACCTCCTCCCCGCCCCAGTGTCCAGCAGTCGCAGTGAGCCAGTCAGCGGTGGTCTTGGGAAGGGGAGCCAATGAGAGTGAGGCAGGCAGAGTATGGGAGACAGGAGGAGAGGAGAGTGAGATGAAGGGACGTGGGGTGGGAGTCCTAATGAGGAGAGTTAATCTTCCCTATGAGAGGGAGAAAAACACAGCCACGCGGCTTTGTGTGTTTTTGTGTACATCAAAAAGCACCTCCCCTCTACAAGGAGGGTATCCAGACCATCTGGATCCTCACTAAGTGGACATCTGGATGGTGGAGAAAGCACTATGAAAGAACAATATGCACGTGTAACCCCGCCTCCTGATCTTTACAAAGTTGTACCGTGTGCTGCACTGTTGTATAAAGATACCGTACAGAGATATGGCTAAATCTATTGGCAGCCCTAGTAGCGTAATCTTCCCCTGAAGGATTCTTAAACATCCCTCCCTAAATTTAACAGCATTAAATTGTTTTTATTTGGTTTCTAACACCGGTAATAACTATTGTTCCTAAAAAAAAATTTTAAATCAGATTTCTATATTGATTTTTGGTTTTCCATGTTCAACATTTCTAGAAACGTCCAATTCATGTTATTGATTTTGGTTCCCTGGGATATAAATGTGATTTGATGCAGAGACCCAATTTTCTACTGATTATTTCCTCATTAATTAATATGTGGATTAATTGACGAGGAATCTTCTAGTAAATTGACACTTTAAATAAACAATTGGCTCTATGCACATCTCCATTACTTCCTGAACTTAAGGCAGCTCCTTTGTTTCCTGTCCTAATTTAATGGATGAACTGATTAATCCAGGTGTGCCTGACCTCAGTCACCATGGCTAAAACAAATCTGGATTAATCAGTTCCTCCATTAATGAAAGACAGGAAGCAAAAGAGATGACTTAAATTCAGGAAATAGTGGAGATGTGCACAGAGGCCATTGTTTGGAATTTAGAACATACACCTTTGTTGTACTTTTTCAAGTAATTGTAAATGGCAAAAATATAAAAATAAATATATATATATATATATATATATATATATATATATATATGTAGATATAAGTGTATAAACACATTAAGGAGATTTTATTTCTAGTTTTGTCTTAATTCTTTCAGAAGGATGTAGAGTTTGCTAAACTCTTTGAATTTAACTGGAACTCTGAGACTCATTTAGCTTTCCATAGAAACCTTCTAACAGGGAATGGGGATCTGGTTATGGTGTGTTATATAATAAAGGCTTCAAAGACTTTATCATAGTGAGCATAAATTATTTTTGAAAGAAAAAATATCTCAATAGGAAAAAATTCTGAAGATTTCACACCGTTTTTATTAACTGAACAAAGGCAAGGGGGAACAGCTGCATGTGAAGTAGCAGCCGGTGGCTTCTGTTAGAGCAAACTTGGTTAAATAAAAAATCACCCCATGTTTTAACACCTCTGTAAAATTGGCAGCTTTTATAGTTTGCTGCTCCAGAGCAGAAGTCCCCAAACTTTTCAGTACACAAACTTTCCAACAAAATCAATTACTGACATTTGTAAAATATTAAAATCAATCTCAACAACCAAAGTAGTTGGTTTTGTCTATCTTTAGCAATGATTTTATAAATTGAATCAATCCAAAATTAATTTTAGGAATTACTGCTCTAGACTAGTTGTGTTTCCCAACCTTTTTTGACTTGTGTAACCCTTTGGACATGTTGTCTTACCATGAGTACTCCCCTCAGTCAAAAAAATTGATGATTGTCCAAAGGTTTTGTGTATAACAGCTGAAATAAAGATTATTTCAAGATTGATCTCTGTGAGAAGAGGAACTGTGAATACAAAAGATATTTTATCCTGGCTGCTAATAGACAGCCTCTTGAAGGACTGAGTTTTTTTATATAATTTTGCGTTTTTTAATTAGGTCCTCATAAGGCAAAACAATCCCAGCCCTATTTTTTTTTACTACCTAAAAATTAAATATTTTCCTGTACCTCCTGCAATGCACTCACAAACTACTAGGTGTAAGCAAACCCCCAGTTTATAATTATTGCTCTAAATCATACAATGACATTTAAGGAGGACAGCAGCAATTGCATTAGAGAAGCATGTTCTGCTGCCTATAAATTTGGAAAGTTTTATAAAAGTATATGAAAACCATTATTCTACCATATAAAAAAAAGGGTTTCTCATCACTAAAACATCCATATTTGGTGATTTTCTAAGCAGTCCAAATCAATACACCAATAAAGACTTTAAGAGGCTCAGAGAAAGCGTAAAGCACACAAGAAGTGCATCTAGGACTCTACAAGTCTCAGCATGTTAATTATTAAGCTAAATGGGTTTCAATTAAAGCACATTTGGAACTTGAACCAATCATTTAATGCTGGTCTAGAATCAACCACATCAGCAGTATCAATTTGTCTAAATAGTCCCTGCTAAATGCAAGACATTAATCTGATTAAAATGCAGTGCAGAAAACAACAAGGATGAAGCTGTTTTACTGTATCAAGAAGGGTTAGCTACAATTCATCTGGAATGGTGCAACAAACTAAAAGTCACAAAGAGAACAACTACTTTATAATACTGAAGATAAGTGAATCCTACAGGATACTAAATCATGGGGTGTGTTTGTTTTTGCTTTTATTTAATGCTAGTAGGCAATAGAACTATAAACTCATTATCTCCAAATCAATTATCCCTAATGGCCTCGTTTCAGAGGAGATTAAATCCATGGGAATCTGCCAAGGGTTTTTCTGTGCTGCTGTTTGACCATCAAGAACAATTTTACATACATTGTTGATACAATATCAATTGGGATGTAAACAAATAATTAACTTACGATTGTCAATTAATGTTTTATTAGACTGAACTCTTTCATTCGATTAATTAATAATTGTCGCTTAAAGCTACAGTGTGTAATTTTCAGCGACATCTAACGTCCAGACTGCAGACTGTGCCAACATGAACATCTCCCCCCCCCACCGCTTCTCCCCCCCAATAGTACGGCGAGCGTTACGGGACAAAATGTCTTCCACGACGTCCACATACCTTCTCAAGTGATGAGGTTTGTTTACATAGATAATTTTACAGATAGTATTCTCAGGCATAATACTGCCATCTATTGTTCAGTACCGTCTCAGTTCATCTCTCTCAACTTGCCGTAGTTACTTTCGAGCGTAATGGGCAATCTCGCAATCGCTAGTTTGTTGGCTCTGCGCTGCCGTAGCGCAAAGATGTCTGCCTCCATGGCTGCGAGACCCGCTCCTATGTAATTATAAATAACGAATTTTAAGGCAACGCAAATATTAAGGTTAAGAGGCTGAGCTCGTAGATGATGATAAATAACATAGTTATGTATAATATATTACATTTCTGACTGTATATCCCTGTAATTATTACACACTGTAGCTTTAAAAGGAATTTATTTCAGTTTGTAATGTTACCACCGTACACTAGAGGGCACCACTGTTAATTTCCAGCTTAGCCTCACTTGTATGCAAGAGAAGTAAATGCAGATCGGATGGATCCTAGAGTAGAAACACAAATCTATCCAGATCACAGACCATTTACACCGTTTAATGGCGACAAGGATCCATAAATAAACTTAATGTTTTCTTTTGTCTTTGTCTGCTGATTAAGCTCCCCAACACTTTTCTTATCGCCATTATTCACTTTATGCATAATATATATATTTTTAAATATACATTTATTCCATTTAAGCAAACGTTATTTACTGTGAGACAACAAGCAGAGGTTCAAACTGTATCTAAATGATCAAAAGAATTAAAGGTTCTGGCATTCACAACATTTCTTCACCAGTTCTCCTAAACTCTGCCTTAGAAACCTGGAAAACTACTTGGGAAAAAAAAAATGGATCAGGGACCTCCTCAAGTTCTTAACCTTTGACCCTAGAGGACCAATCTTTAGCTAGGGGAGGGTAAAGCCAAGCCTGTTAAAACATGTAAACGCCTTCTCTAGCTCTATGATAGAGCGCAGAGAGAAGCCCACCAGACAGGGTGTGGGTGTAATGACACACTGTTACCCACCCAAGTATCAAATGATCCCTAAATCCCTACCTTTAAACCACTGTTTAGAGCCCCTGGAGCACTGAGTCCCAGGTCCCTCGCCTCTTTATGACTCTAAGTAGTTTTCAATGCAGCAATAAGCTTTTATCCAGAATATGGTGGTGGTGGGGGGGGGGGGGGGGGTATTCGATCAGGGTTATAAATGAGGTTCTTTGGTAAGATGATGAAATTGTTAAACTAACAAAGATATGCACCGTTAAAATAAAAAGACAATAAACTCAATTGATGAGAAAACATATTTTTATGATTTCCCTTTAAAAACAATTTCAAAACTATATTGTTGTTTAGAGACATGATTCAATAATCTGTTGGGTTCTTTCAATGTGTCGAATGTAAGGTTTAAATCGGCTATTGATAAAACGGTCACATAAATGAAAAAACCATTGAGTTTGAACCTTCCAAATAGAGTGCTTACTTGTTGTAAAAGGTTTTGCTCATTTTGTCCCTTTTCTATTTGAAAAACTGTATACCCGAAGTTTTCAGGGATCAAAAAGATGTTTTATATCATCCAAATCAGAAGATTGTCTGATTCTGCCTCAATAATGGGCATTTAGAAAGCCACACATAGAAATGAGTTGGTAAACATAATAACATGATTTTAAATTTGACCAGCCTGATAAAAAAAAGAAAGGGTCAGTGAGAAGCTAAAACATGATATTTTTCTGATGAGTGAACCCTTAAAAGAGCCAACAGGTTCATCTGACAAAACTTATCTATTGGGGGGGGGGGGGTCAAAATGTGCTTTAAAAACAGAGTCTGATGAAACTCAGGACAAAAAAGAGGCATGTTAGCCAGTTTTAAAGAGTCAGTATCATAACAGATTTGATGGCACAGTGGACTTGCAGT